AGGTCCTCCTGACTCCAGGGTCGGTGCTCTGTCCACTGCACCACCTACCTACCCCTTAAAATGTACCTTCTAAAGGAAGCCTTTCCCAATCCCTCTTAATTCTAGTCATTCTATTACCTTGTCTCGATTATGTGCCATTTATCCTCTACATAGCTTGCTTGTACATACTTGTTTGCTTGTTGTCTCCTCCATTAAGACTGTGAGCCCCATAGGTGAAGCTGGGTGGCGCAGCGGGTAGAGCACTGGCCCTGAAGTCTGGAGGACCTGAGTTCAAATTCGACCTCAGACCAAACACTTGACACTTACTAGCTGTGTAACCCTGGGCAAGTCACTTAACCCCAATTGCCTAAAAAAAAAAAAGATTGTGAGCTCCTTGAGGGCAGGGACTCCTTTACCTTCTTTTGTATCCTAGAGCTTGGCACATGTTATTCAGTCATGTCTGACTCTCTGTGACCCCATGGACCATATGGTCTATGGGATTTTCTTGGCAAAGATACTGGAGTGGTTTGCCATGTCCTTCTCTAATAGATTAAGGCAAACAGAAGATTGAGTGACTTGCCCAGGGTCACACGGCTATTCAGTGTCTGAGGCCAAATATGAACTCAGGTCTTCCTGACTGACATACAGTAGGCAGTTAATAAATGCATTTATCAGTTGACTGTTTGAATGGACAAATGGATGAGTAGAGAGAAGGAGAGATGGATGGAGAGATGGATAAGTAGAAAAAAAGAAAGTTGGTGGTTGGATGAGTGAGTGGAAGGAGATGGATAAGTGAGTGGAGGAAAGGAAAGATAAGTGGATGGATGAATGGAAGGAACGAGAAATGACTGAACGGGTAATGAGTGATAGGAAGGAGTGTCAAACTCAGCTGACTGAATCTGACCCTGTCCCCATTCCCAGACCCATGAATTTTGCCCAAGACTGACCAGACATGATCACTCTCAGCCTTTGACCAATTTTAAAAAACCCCAAACTCTCCCCTCCAGAGATTCCCAAGCTTTCTCTATGGGCTTTTGCTTGTTAAGCAAAATAACTTACCAGGTGAAACGCAGAAGCGTCCCTAACCCCTCCCACCGGCAGTTTGGCTATTCCCTCTGCCTACACTTCCCCCACCTGCGGCCTGGCCATTCCCTCTGCCTACCTTCTCCCACCTGCAGCTTGGCCCTTCCCCCTGTCTTAGTTTCCCATATAAACCCTGTTCCCAGCCCCCTTCTTGGATACCTCAGCACTTGCTGTGTGGCATCTGGAGGTGCAACTCACTTGCATTGATTAAAGACCTCAATTTTGCTCTATTGGCTGTTTTCTCTGGAATTCAGGTTGACAGGAGATGGGAGAATGGATGAATGAGTGGAGGGAAGGGGAGATGGGTAAATGAATGGGTGAGTGGAGAGGGGAGAGTGAGTGGTGGATGCGTGGAAGGAAGGAAGGAGAGATGGACGGCTGAATGGGTAAGTGGAGGGAGATGGGTGAATAAATAGATGACTGGAGGGAAAGGGAGATGGGTGAATGTATGGGTGAGAGGTAGACGAGTGAAAAGAGGGAAGGAGAGATGGGTGAATAAATGGATACGTGGAGAGAAGGGGAGATGGGAGGCTGAATGGAAGAGTGAATGGAGGGAAGGGAGATGGGTGTTTGAATGGATGAGTGGGAGGGAGGGGAGATGGATGAATGAATGGATGAGCGGAGGGAGGGGAGACGGGTGGCTGAATGGGTGAGTGGAGGGAGGGGACACCGAATGGGTGAATGAGCGGAGGGAGGGAGGGGCGGCTGGATGCGGCTGCCCTCCTCTCAATGACCTTAGCGCGCAAAGGCGCCCGTGAAGGACAGAGCCTCTCTCGGGCAGGGCCCGCTCGGTCCGCCCCTGTGGGAGGGGGCGACTGGAAGGTCGGGCCCTTCGCGGAGCCGCTGAGCCGAGGGAAGAAGCAGGAGGGGGCGGGGCGCTCGTTGGTCGGGTCGGCCGCTATGAACAGCTGCCAGGCCTAGCCTGGAGAAGGCGCCTTGGCTGCAGCTTGGAAGCAGGAGAGGCGGGAGACCGAGGGGGGCGGGGAAGGAGGAACGCCTCCCCAACAGCATTCTGGGAATTATAGGCTCTCCCCGCGTGTGCCTTCAGCTTCTCTTCCTAGGCGCCAGTGGCATGCTGGCGTTTGCTGGACCTTTGCATCTGATCTCTTTGGGAGTCTCACCTCGAAAAGGGATGAGTCTGACAAACACCACTGGTTATAAGAGATACTTTTGCTCCTCTTGTCGCCCTCCTCTTCAGGATTGAGACTACATTTCCCAGTTGTCTTGCGAGCAGCCTGCTTGGCGAGGTGGCGCGATGCACTCTGGATGTTGTAGTTCCCATTTGATTCAGGCTTCTGCTCCTCGGGCTACCCCGGTGCCGAGGGCCGGACTACATTTCCCTTCAGTCCTCCCGATTCCCCTCGGCCGCCTTGGCGGAGACATTTGCGAACGGAGTGTCTCCAAGATGGCTGCTTGGGGAAGGAGGCGCCTTGGCCCGGGCAGCAGTGGCGGCAGTGCCCGAGAGAGGTGAGCCTGGGGGAGCCACGGTTCCCCCTGGGCCAGTGGCGGAAGGAGTGGGAAACCAAAGGGAACCGAGCGGCACTGCGGCGGCGGCCTGGGCGCCGGACTCTTCTGTCGTCCTCCCCTCAGTGCCTTGGGCTCCTCCTTCCCCCCACCCGCTCGGTCCCCCTGCCTGGCTTCCGAGGGGCGCGAGGAGAGAAGCCGGGGCGGGGGAGCCGAGCTGCGAGGGTCGGCCTTGGGCACCTCCCGCGGGGTCCGGGGTGCGCCGCCGCGACGGAGGGGTGGGCGGTGCTGGAGGAAAGTGTGGCCCAAGTTCGGGCCGCGGAGAGCCCGGATTGTGCGGGGAGGACCCGACGGCAGGGCGCCAGCGGGCGGGCGCCTGGGTCCCACTTGGGCCCGAGGGCCGGAGCCAAGCGGCCGCGTGGGTCCAGGCGCTGCCCCCTCCCGCCCATCCCGCACGTGGGGCGCGGAGGGGGCGCTCGGCGGGGGGCGTGCGCGTGAGTGCGCATGTGGGTCGGTTCGTCTGGGGGTGGGGAGGCCGGAGGAGAAGCAGCAGTAGTGACAGAAGCAGGTCAGCGGCGGGAAGGTCAGTGCGAGCGTGCACGTTTACCGGGCCAGGCCCTTTCCAGATGTGGATCCCGCGAGGACCGAGGTGCCGCCACCCCCACCCCCACTCCCCCCACCCGGGCCGAGGCATCTTAGGACTTGGCTGGGGCGCCCTTCCAAGTGACCTTTTCCTACCCTCCCGGGGCTCGGGTTGGCGGGCAGAAATGCGTTTCCTTTTCTCGGTGGCCGAAGTCGGGGGAAACTGGTTTTTTGCCTCTAGAAACGTCTCTCTTGGGAACGGATCCGGAAGGACCTTTCCTGCTCTGGGTGCTTGGTTAATGGAGCAGTTCTGGCTTCGGGAAAACTGTCAACTTTGTGTGTGTGTGTGTGTGTGTGTGTGTGTGTGTGTGTGTTACACACAAGACATGTGTCTCATGCAAGTTTGCTGGCCTGATTGGGATAACATGTCAGGAAAAGAGAGGAGATATTTGCTTGGGTTGCTTTAAAGTTATTTTGGGGGAAAAAAAGAGGGTGGAGGGGGGAAGATTCTGTATTAAGTCTCTAATGTTGTTTTGCTCCCTCATCACCGAAATGGGATGGGGGGGCAGGGCTGTATTGCTGTTTTGACATTGTTTACTGGTACTTTTAAGATAGGCTAAGTCAAAGAGCTATTGTGATAGTTTACAGATGGTATTAGAAATCGAAATACTCAGATCCCCTGTACTTGTGTAACATGAATCAGTTTAGAAGACTTAAAGGAATCGGTAAAGAATTACACCCTGAGTAAACATATGCAAGTGATAGAAAATACCGTGTGAGGTGCTGTGTTCCATCTTCCATTGTCTGGATTTTAAACCCTTGATTGATCCCTGGAAGTATTTCCAAAATGCTGTGGAGAATGATTTGTTCCTTTGAATAACTAAGTCAAGAATCTTGGAAAGAACCCATTCAAACCAATGGTTCATTTGTAATAGTTGTAACAGAATAATATATGCCTCCTAGAAGCAGGGCATTTGATTTTCTGGTTTCATTTAGTGTCTTTCTGCTTCCCCTAATACTTGTTTTGACTGAAGTTTACCTATTTGTTTTCCTTGTAAACTTTTAGCTAGGTTTTGTTTGGGTAGTAGCTCACCAGATCTCAGCTTCTCTAAAGATCCACTTCCCACTCATGAAGCAGAAGGTGGAAACATAACACTGCCATTTAGATCTAGCTTGTCAGCTGCTTTTTGTGGCACACCTACAGGTCTTGCTTGGCTGGTGGGAAGACTACTCTTCTGAAGGGCAGGGTAGATTAATTGATTACACACCACCATAAATTATAATGGCTGCATGTTATCGGGTCTTATGACTGAAGTAGACTGTTTATGGCACTTTTAAATGACTTTGTTCCATATCGGGTTTGCACTGATTAAAATTACGGCTCTAAATTTCTCATTTGCTTTTAAAACCATTTACTGCATTTACCTGACTGGCATCTGGTTTGTGGTGGAATTCTGAAGAAACAAACATTGTCTAGTGTGTGGGGTATGGAGATGGGGAAAACCTTATGCTGTAACTAGTAGTTGCAAACACTGAAGTTTGTTTTAGAATGGAAGGGCTATACTTTCCATATGTGGTAGCACACATTAACAATAGCTATGGATTCTGATACGGAGGGGTAGAAATAATGAAATGATAGCTATTTGCATGTTGCTTTGTTCTCCATTCTAGTTGGACTCTTAATAATTCCTTCTTACATATTCCATTAAATCTAGGGATTCAACTATGTTTATTATGAAGAACAGCAGACTCTGAGCTGTAACCTGAAATCTTGTCTAAAATTCAGCACACTGGCTGCAAGAGCACCAAACAGAATGCCACTTGTTCCGTCGGAGTCTTTGAGACAAACTTGCACACCTAGGACAGAACAGTGCAGGTATCTGTGTGTTTTGCAATACATGGGCCAACTTGGAACAGATCACAGCTCTACTTTCCCTATGTTTGCTGCTTAGACTTTACGCAGGGGCCTTAAGAGTTTGCTTCCATCAGTGATGGTTTGAATGTGAGTATAGTCATTTGTTTGGGGTTCTTTATAGTTGACAGAAAATGGATTTTCTTTGCACTGTTTTTTGCTGCTATTGCAGCCACTACCTATGAGCCTTCAAAGGCCAGTAGTGTTACAGGTTTGTAGATAAATGGGGCTCCAGGGTGGTTTCAATTTTTATTTTTCCAGGGTTAAAGTAATTTCCTTGCTAAGCCAGAGGTGCCTCTTAAAAAAAAAATTTCACAATATACACTCTCCACTGCCTTAGGATTCCATGTTATAGAAGCTCCTTTAGGAAGCAAGGATTTGGATGGGACTACTTTCAAGTCTTTCAGGTTCACACCTTACTTAGCTGGATCTTGACTTCTTCAGTGGAGTCCATAGACTGACTCAAAACTATCTATGATTTGACTTGGATTTTGATGATGAAATAGTAGTTTTAGGTTAGTACTCTTGTTGAAAATGTTGGCCATTAAATTGAAGGACTGTAAGAACAACCGAACCACATTGGCAGGTCCTAGGAAAGTTGGCTCATGCTCCTCTGTTAGTGTACTGCTGTCCTGATTGGCATCTTTTATCTTAGATTTGTAGATTTTAAAGCAGGAATGCACCTTTGAGATCTCTAGCCTGGCAGCTCTTCAGAAAGACTCTTGAACTTTTATAAGTGGCTTTGTGATAGAACATTTTCCATGACTGATTTGGAAAAGACCATCAAGTATTTTTGCTCATGACTATAGAGGATTAAATCCCAAGCCTTTAGATGTTTGAAAAGTTCTGTGTAGTGTTCTGCTTAGCAAGGCAAACAAAGGATAGATTCATCCTTCCGCTTGAAGTAGGCAACCAGTTGCTGTATTCAGATTCCTGGATGTGTCAGTTAGGGCATGCTTGAGTTCATTTTAGTTCAAGGTTGGAATTGAGGTGCCTTACCAGTTTGTGAGATGAAAAATTTATCTTAATTCATTCTGACAAATTGCTGCCGAGTGTAAAACATTTGTTTCTTGTGAGTACATCCAGTATCTAACCAAAAAATCACAGTGCTTTTTCATGTGTAATCAGAAATGGGAATGGTCACCTGATTGCCTGTTTTGAGGCTCAGGAAGCTGAAAATTAAAGAAATGAAGAACCTGGACATTAGAGGTCAGGCTTAACTTAGTTTATAACCAGTTGGCTTATACAAAGGACTTGTTCTTTAGTCAACAAATTGAAATAATTTTTAAAAAGAATGAGTAAAACACAAAGGGTGGAACCTCCCCTTTCAGGAGGTGTTCTGGTGATAAATTCCCACTTGCCTTAAGATGCCTCCTTTCCAGTTTCACCTGTGATGTATGGTGACATTATTGCCTTTAGCCAGCAGAGGTTTATTTGTGACATCCTATTATTACTTAAGTCTGTATGTGCCTAGAGGGGAAAGGTCATGGCCAAAAGAAGCCATGGTCCCTAGTTCTTGGGAATTAATAGTCTCTCCCCAGACCTACCAGAGCTTGGAGTTCTCTGGAATATTACCAATGTACAGCACTCTGACATTCCCTCCTTCCAGTCCCCTTCATTTCCCAACATCTGCTCATGTTTCAGTAGCATGTAAGTTGCCATGCATGTTTTCATCACAGCAGTTGCCAATGGAAAGAACAGGAAGATATTTTCCTGTACCCTTATTTCCCTTAAAGGGTGGAAGGTGGGATATTTGGAGTAATGTAACAGTTGCTAAGAATTTTTGAATTGTTAATATTTTGGGCTTTATACCACACAACTTCGTGCCTTGGTGGTACATAATAGAAACTGACTCCTAGTCTCCAATTTTTCAGGACATCAATTGATAGTAACATTGCTCTCAGTAATGTTTTATTCACGTTACAAGCATATTTCATTTTATGTAGTAGATGTTTGCAAATTATTTGAGTTCTATTTGCTTGGGTATGTTGGGTCCTTGGGGAATTTACAGGGTGGGGAAAAGATACAGATTTTTGCCCTGAAGCTTACAATTAAGAGTGTAGATGAATTGGACAAAAGTCATGTGCCACACACAAACACTTGTGTGCAAAGAAACTCTGGTCTACTTCTGCAGGTATCTCTCCCTTACCTTTATATAAATTACATACATTGTAGGTTACCTTGGGGAAATTTTCATTTCCAAGTTGGCACTGCCTTAAGCCCAATTTGACTAAGCCACTTAACTGCCATTATTTGAATTGTACTCATAGTAACTATAGTCAGTGTTCAGGAAATGCAGAAGGATTTCAGAATTAACCAGCTGTTGTTAGGAACTCTACAAAGTGTTTGAAAGCTGTTTGTATATGCACATGTAAATTACTGTCATCTCCACTTCTATCAGTAATGGAGAAAATTAAGAATTAACAACATACAGTAACAGAAATGAATTGAATTTTGTCCACCTTCTGTTTTGTCCATAAAGACTACGTGAAAGAGGTTAATTTGAATT